TATTTAATATAAAAAAAAAAAAAAAAAAAAGGAAGAAAAAAAAAAAAAAAAAAAAAAAAAAAAAAAAAAAAAAAAAAAAAAAAAAAAAAAAATAAATAATAATAGCTATAATTTTATTAAGGTAGTTCTAACAAAGTTAACGGGCAATAGATAAAATTTGGTTAATAACTTTAAGCACGAAATCATAATGAAATCGTAATTTTGGCTAAATTGGTATTTAATTTTTGGCTAAAATGAAACCGCTATTATAATTTTGGCTGAAATGAGTAAGCCACATCTAAATCACAGAAGTCTTGTGACCGAGATCTTTTTTTGACGATTTAATGCTGGGTAGTTACTATATCAGGTTAATTCCCCTAAACTATTACATTGTCGATCAATATATAGTAATACACCAATCGTATGTTTCTTTGGTATTATAAATAAGAAGTTCCCGTGAATAACGCTGTAAAAAATTTTTTTTTTTTAATATCGTATTTTCTAATACATCTTTTTTTTATCGAGTTCTTTCCCTGTAAAGAGTGGTCACTCCAGCATTTTTGTTTCAACAGTTATTGATAGAGAAAAAGAAGACACATAACAACACTTGTTGTGTTGCTCAGGAACTCCTAAACGATAAAAAAAGTAAGTGTAGTGGGATGAAATTTTAGACGGATGTGGGGTTGCGTGGTTTTGGTAAGCCTTATGGAATTTTCCAGTTACAGTTTCTCGATAAAGATCCGTTGACTCTGAAATGAGGATCGACCATGTAACTTCTTTACTCTTAAATGAAACTTATAACTTTACCGGTACTCGATATCAATCTTTGCCTTAACTAAAGTTTACTACTGGAATTTTCCTGCATCCGCCATCTAGTTTAATTTTTATCTGATTATTCTTACCATGAAATGATTCTCAAATGAATTTGCTTTTTTTTATATAGGATAACGACAAGATCGTTCAAGCCATATCACCGTTACCATCATCAACGTCACCTATGGATGTCTGTGAAAAGTGGTTACTCCAGAAGGCACATCAGGAACTCCTAAACAATAAAAAAAAAAGTAAGTATAGTGGGATGAAAAATTTAGACGGACGGTGGGTGCGTCTACCAACCTGGTTTTGGTAGCTTATGGAATTTTCCAGTTACAGTTTCTCGATAAAGATCCGTTGACTCTGAAATGAGGATCGACCATGTAACTTCTTTACTCTTAAATGAAACTTATAACTTTACCGGTACTCGATATCAATCTTTGCCTTAACTAAAGTTTACTACTGGAATTTTCCTGCATTCGCCAGCTTAGTTTAATTTTGTCTGATTATTCTTACTATGAAATGATTCTCAAATGAATTTGCTTTTTATATTTTTTTATAGGATAACGGTAAGATTGTTCAGCCTTATGAAATAAAGTGATGCCATATCACCATTACCATCATCGACGTCACCTAGTGATGTATTAGGAAAGGACCACGTATTGATATCATTGTTATCTTTCTCCAAATATTCTTGACTAACCATTTGTTGTTATCAAGATATCCTTTGAATGCATGATATCGATCGATTTTATGAATTTCCTATAATATTCAAGGTGTGCGCCCTCTACTTTGAATATCATCTCGCCCAACCTGCGAAATAACCCAAAAAAAAATCCAATCACCATTTTGCAGGCGATGCTAGGACCGCAGTCCGCACGCGTGACGTTTTACATATTTGTATGACATCTATTTGAGTTTTTATTGGAGCAATCCTTATAATTACGAGGTCCAACATTTTTAATCCGAAGCAGTGATCTATCAGCTTAGAGCAGTGATCCTTGTATTTATTTATTTTTTCAAGTATTACTATTCAAGGTCAATTATATAGACTTGCCAATTTTCAGGTGTATTATAGTGAGACGCGTTATATCATACAATACTAATTATCAACTCAATCAGCTGTATTTTTAAATTATTTATTTATATTTCTAAAAACATCAAGAAATATTAATAGGTATTGAATACATAAAATTACATAATTAAAAAAAAATGAAAGTTTAAATGTACATAATATATATATATGTAAATGTGTAAAGTGAGTGAATGTTCGTTACTATCAAAAGAAAATCTCTTATTAGGTATATTATTATACTCGAACAACTTCATATAAAAATAATAATCTAAAAAGGCAAGCCAATTCAAATTCTTTTATGATTTTTAAATCTAAATTATCGTTTCTTATATTTCTGTAATAAAAATATTCAATTATTTTAAACTTTAAATTCCATAATATCAATAAGGATATTTATGAATAAATAATACATACATCTTCCATTTGTAATTTCTTGTTGGGATCAATTGTATTTCGTAATCCAAGCAACGTCTTCGATACAGCCTCAGAAGCTCCAATCATAGGTTTTAAAACAGCAACGGGAACTGCTCGTATCACAGCCTTGACCGTTCCTTGGGTTCCAGTCTTTTCATATACCTCCATAGGTACAGCAAATATTGTATGAGCTGCAGTACCGATATTTGCTCGTAAACTCTTATAAGCTGCTTCAATGCCTAAATAAAAATTATCAGAAAAGTTTTGATAAACTATAAAATATCAATAAAATTACCTTCATTCAAATCTGCTGGCTGATCAGCGTATTTGCTTATTAATTCCTTAATATTGTCTTCTTCGCTATCAAACTCCTCATCTATGGTACTTATTGTAGGATTAGTACTACTCCTTGTGTTGGTGCCAGTTTGAGATTCGAAAGAAAGAATTTCATCGGCTTGTTCAAGCAAAATCTGCGTTCCAACCGCAAGTTTGGTACCAAATCTGATTGCTTCCATAGTTGTAGCTCGTGCAAAAGACTCTGTCCCCTTTTGTAAACCTCTAATAATCCTACCATCTTTCTTATATTGTTCAATTGGTAAGAGAATAAGATCAGCAACACCCGAACCTAAATTAACTAACGAACGTATTGGAGCCACACCAGATACTACGTTGGGTACTTGAGTGCTCTTTATATGTGGTAACCATGCTGCACCCAATTCCTCAAATAGACGTTGACATCCTTTAACCTTGATCATTAAAGATAAATTATTCATTGTGATCAAGAAACTCGGTAAAAAAAAATCGAATGATTTGATTATTTGAACTCACCCCTGTCAACTTGACATTACTTAAGGTCATTTCCGCAGCCTCAAAATGGAAAAAGTTCATCAATTCAACTAAATTACCTTCCTTCAAATTAGTATAATCAATGTGCTTTGGTTTATAATCGACCTTCATTTTAATTGGATGTATCTCGAAAGATTCTATTAAATATAAATGACAAATGATAGTTGTTATGAATTAACCAAGGAATATGATACCAAGCTATTAAAACTTGAACTTACGGAAATAAGTATCGTCTTCCACCTGCGGAGGTTTTTCAATGGTAGAATCTTGAAAAGAAAGGAATCGAATCAAGAATTGAAGGGCATCTTGATCAATATAAAACCTTAGCGGTAAAAATCGTGCCTACGAAAAATCATTAACAATAAAAGTCATGACAAATCAGTTATATATAAAAGGAATTATTTAAATCAAACCTTACCTTTATTCGTAACTCTTCAGAAACATCAGTTGGAGTAGGACGAACGCTATTTAATTCTAACCTAATCATGTTTGATTTACTCTCACGTGGACTAGTATTATTATCCGGGCGCATATGCGATAAAAACTTATTCCACGCAGATGTCTTTATGTTGTCTAGAATTTCTATATCTCGGACAAGAAGCAACAGCCTAAAAGCTAATAAATTGTCATCGGGAAAAATATCGAATTCCAAATTCACTTTTTCAAGTTTTATGTCAATTTTGCTAGAGCTTGAGCGA